TGCAATAGAATTGAATGGTTAGCCGGAATTATCTTATAAACCCAATGAATAAAACGGGCCCTTTTCCTGCGAAAAAATTATATAAAATTCTGCTATACTAACTCATTGGGGGTATATTGCCTGGTAAGACATGTAGGAAATCGATGGATGCAGATGGCTCAGGACCGTGCTTTGTGACATTCCTTGGGAGAAGCCTTTGTTCAGCAGTGGACTTAAGAAGGACTGTAATGATGATGATGATGATTTTAACTCAGCTAATATGCAACTTTGAAAACATACCTAATTCACTGCCGTACGTAGTTGTTAAATTGTAACCCTTTGGATGCGCGTGCAATATTTTCATTCCTTATTCATTTCTGATAAATCTGATTGGATAATTTAATTGATTTTAATGAAATAATATAAAATGAGAATATTATTAATTGAAAACCAATCTTATTATTAATTGAAGAAGAGGTGTTGAAAATATATGAGGATATCTCCAAAGTCATGCATTCCTACAAAACCTACTATTCATTTCTGATAAATCTAATTGGATAATAAATTAATTATTTTAAATGAAATAATATAAAATGAGAATATTATTAATTGACAACCAATTTTATTACTAATTGAAGAAGAGGTGTTGGAAATATATGAGGATATCTCCAAAGTCATGCATTCGTCCAAAACCTACAATACGGTGTTAATGGGAGATTGCAACGCAAAACTAGGCACAAGAGAGAACGTCGAGTTGAAAGTAAGGAAATTCGAAAAAGGACAATAGAGCCCAAGGAGCCAGCAGTGGGCCGATTTCATGAAGATATAAAGAGGGACTTTTCATGATGAACTCTTTCTTCCAGAAGCGGAAGAAGAAGAAGCTATTTAGCGACATTATTAGCCATAAAAACTTTACGACACCCAAAAGATGAGATGGGCAGTATGATACTTTTGGAATATCTTAAATCCCATAATGTAACGTGAATTTGAAAATTTGATGAGGTATTTTTTATTTATTTATTTATTTATTTACACACAATAAAACACAGAAACAATCGTACAGTAAGTTCGTACAAAGGTACTACATAATCCATAATTTACTGAAATATCATCCATTGGAACCATACAGGAAAATATATTAAAAAAGCAAACTTAGTGCGCAAAATTCTAAAGAATGAATAATATACACAATATTATATAATCGTCATCATCATTACAGGCCTTCACAAGTCCACTACTGAACATGGCCTCCCCCAAGGAATGCCACAAAACACGGTCTTGTGGCAAACTTAAAACTTAAAGGGATATTATTTATGTCATTGAGCATAGTGATAAGGTTCTCCAGCGATTCTGTCATAAGGACTATATCGTCGGCAAATCGAAGATGAGTGATGAACTCGCCATTGATGTTAATATCGTATCCTTTCCAGTTCATATTCAAATGCAGCGGTGAAGAGTTTCGGGGATATAACGTCACCCTGTCTTACACATCTCTGCATTTGGATAGATTTCGTACTCTTGTTCTGTATTGGGATTGCCATCGTAGCCCTACTTTACAAATACTTCAGCACTTCGATATACCGACAGTCAACTTGGCCCCGCTGAAAGGACTGTAGCACCGCCCAAATTTCAATCAAAGGCTCATAATAATAAAAATTTTCATAGTCCACATACGCAAGACAAAGTGGCGGATTGTACTCTTCGGTCTTCTGTACAATCTACCGCAGGGTATGAATGTGATCTATGGTATTGAAGTTTTTCCGGAAACGCGCTTGTACGGGAGGCTGAAAGTCGTCGAGTCTGCGTGCGACACGATTCGTAATGACTCTCGAAAACGTAGACGCGGCTCACAAGGGAAATCGGTATGTAGTTCTTCAAGATAGTGTTTTATATAAATAATAATAAGTAATACGATACTAAAACAATAATAGATAGAATAACTATATATAAAATACAATAAATAATTACTCAAATAATACAATAATACATATAAATTATCAAGATGCAAAGTAGTTATCTCTTACACTTTCTTACGTGTATAAATTCAAATCGGAAACAAAAGAATTTTATTTCATTTCCTTATGATTAAACTTTGTCATGTATCCCTAGGATACTATTCACATAATAGGTTAGATCGAAATTTTGTTGCTGGGCGACTTTGTTTTTTTAGAATAACGGTAACAGATGATCGCACAGTCCGTTCATGGGAAGTGTCTTCTTGTGCTATTATGTTGTTATATACTCAGTGTCATCTTTCGAAATTCGTCAAAAAGTTTCTCGAGTGGCAGCCTCGTACCGGTAGGCGTAGTGTAGGGCAACCCCCCACTAGATGGAGTGATGACCTGGTAAGACATGCAGGAAGTCGATGGATGCAGATGACTCAGGACCGTGCTTAGTGGCATTCCTATGTTCAGAACTCCAGACCGAATTTCGGTCACGGCGGCCAGTTTCGACGGAAACTAGCCATGATCTAGCCATAACAGGACAGGTGCATTTTCTATTCCGTCACTATCATAATCCAATGGGGTGGTAATTTAACACAACCGGAGAGCGATCGGTCGCAGGGGTAACGGCTTTACGTGCATTCTGAGACACGTAGGTGTAACACCATCAACATCTTAACTTCGGGCTCCTACTAAGAATTTATAAATATATATATATATATATATATTTATATATATATATATATACCAAGTAACTGATTTTGGTTCAACCCGGCATTCAAACCCGGGATCTCATGAGCAGCAATCGCGCTTACGACCACTATAACAACTAGGCAGTTAATGATGAATGAATGACAGCGATACAACAAAAGCTTGCCGTTCTAAACCGATGTAGAGCGCATAGACGGCATGCGATAGCCAGGGGTTAACCACCACCACCACTGTGCGATTTAATAGGAGTTTTCTTAAGCGCACGACTTTTTTGTGAAATCTTTTACCACCGGCGATTTTTCCAGACCGATATAACTCAGAGACCTTCAAGAAATGAGCTTACTCCTTTTTAAACACCCGCACCTACAATTCCCGTAATTTTATAGCTATTCAAGAGCGACGGTTGACACTTACCAACAGGTTAGCCATATGCTTCCTCCCTTCTATAAAAACATGGGCCATCAACCCGTTTTCTAAGCATGGCAACTATGGCAAGATTCCTCTATGAGGCAACCTATGGGACCTATATATGCATATGTAGACATTTGATAGACTGTAATGATGGTGATGAGAGTGATAATTGTCATATAATGTAAACAAATATTATTAATTTTTGAATTAAGAACAGAAACCTGACGTTTCTCTGCTGTTTATTTAAACAGTAATCTAGAATAGTAAAATACATATTTTTCACAAAACTACATTTGGAAAAGAAAAATTTAATCCAAGCTTAGTTGATATTTTACTCGTGTACAAGAGACATGTTGGATCCATTGTTTCCGGGACGCAAATAAATAATGTCTTATGAGACTTACTTATAAAAACCAGGTCATAATCTTAATTTAATTTCGGCACTTGTCTTTAAATCTTCATAAAGACGGATTGTCTGCCTCATTGGTTTAGAAATCGTAAACGCTATTGTTGATCGTCATGAGGTCCTGAGTTCAAATCCGTAGTAAGTCAGTTATTGGATTTTTCTGTTAAGTAATTCTCAGTAGCCGCGCGAAGTAAGGAAGTTGGCCGTGTTCCCTTTCTATGCTTCGGAAAGCACGTAAAGCCGTTATTGAAAAATAAGCACAGGCCACCTGATGGTAAGTGGATGCTGTGGCCCATAGGACATGTACATTTATCCACAATTACGAATCCAAAGCAGATGTGCTATCACCGCGGAGGCTAAGATAAAAAAAGTCAAAGGAGTCTCCGGTTCTCTACACTCACCATACGATATACAGCAGCATTAAGCTGCTATTTTACGCTGATATTTTGTGTGAGCTTGGTCCTACGCTGGTTTTTCCTTTTAACAAACACATGAACAGGTATTATTAATAGAAATATTAATAATGCGTTATTTATAATAGTTATTATTTAGAAAAATAAGTATTATAAAAATGATGCTGCAGTACAGTTGTTATTGATATTTTGTTTGGTTGTCTGTGATTAAAAATTATATTCAAAATAGATATTACACATCATTATGGGATATACAAACTGATTGGGTATATTAAATGTTATGTGATCTATATTTCCCTGAGAAGACGACAGATATAAATTTATCTGCTTGCAATCAATGAATAGCTAAGGTGATGTTATTTTAAATTGTACAGGATATTAGCGTTATACAGTAAACATCCACTGGTGACTGTCAAAAACCACAAAAATACCCATTACTTAGGGGTCTACACCCTAAATTTTTAGCACTGGTTTTATCGAAGGGGAGGAAGGGTTTTGAGTTTATTGGAAGCTTGATAATATTGAATATATTTAAGTAATCAACTTTTTTAATAATTTTATTTGCAAAAGAAGTATATACTTAGCACTGCTTACCACCAAGGTTCAAAATCTGATACTACACTGATGAGCACAGATGGGTCCGAAAAACAGAATGTAGGTTAACTATTAGCACAAAAAAAGTCACGGACGCCTGAATTGTTAGTGAGTCAGGAAACTTTATGTAAATTTAAAAGAAATCTGTTTACTGCGAACCTTATATAGTGTTGAAATATTAGATTGTTTAGTGATTAGTCAATAAATAGTAAAAAACAACATTAATACATATTATTTTTAAAGGGAATAAAATTTAATAATATAATACCATCATATAATACTGATCAACACAGCTCCGTCTAACACCTCCATTGTGTACTAATAAATCAACGCATAATTAAGCGTTATCAACTATTAAAGCTTATTGATCATGGCGATTAAGTGCAGTGCATGCAGTAAATACATATCACAGCTCAACAATGATGTTGCAAATTCGAGTGAGGTTTCAAACCTCGGAGAGGAATTGTGTTGTTTTCGCCCGCGGAGAATTTTGGGCATAAAGAGAGAAACTTCATCACATAATAGCTCTTGTCAGCAAATGCGATGCTGTTGATCAAACTGGAATGCGATCAAACTGCTGCGATGTTCAAACTGGAATTACTGGAGCAATATGGCTCTCAAGGATTCAAAAGTGAAATCCTGAAACTCGATTCGACCGTCAATCAGCTGCAAGCCGATTTAAATGATAGGAGCCAGGAGTTGCTTGCAAGCGACGTCAAATTTCAGAGGAGAGTGGAGAGGACCCAACACACTTGTACTTGTGCACTTGTACCAAGCTTGGTATTCACTTTGAAGAAAGGAAACTGATAAATTGTATGCAATTGGGGGGCGCCCGCCAGGACGCCACGTCAGTTCTGCGCCCTATTGGTCCCTGTGCGGCTAGTGCGTCACTACGTGTGTAATGACGTGCTGCGAGGCTCTAGGTCTTAAGTCCGCGTTCTGCAAATCCTATGTAAACGAACGACCGACTGACTTAAACACATAGGCATATGTTTCGCATAGTGCGCGAAACAGGTCGCCAGCAGGGATGGCGATATATTTGGACGAAGGGAAGCCGAATTTTAGCACGTCAGGAAGCAGCTCAAACAAATCGCCTTATCGCATCAACGCGGATCACTCATCGCTTCAACGCGGATATTGCAAAGGTTTTTGGTTTACTCACAAAAAAGAATTTGTGTTTTTAGTTTCTTTATTTAATTTTGTTACTATTTAATATAGTCCATATATATATATATATATATATATATATATATATATATCATCATCATTACAGCCCTTCACAAGTCTACTGCTGAACATAGGCCTCCCCCCAAGTAACGCCACAAAGCACGGTCCTGAGCCACCTGCATCCATCGACTTCCTGCATGTCTTACCAGGTCGTCACTCCATTTAGTGGGGGGTCGCCCTACACTACGCCTACCGGTACGAGGCTGCCACTCGAGAACCTTTCTTCCCCATTGGTTATCGGTTCTTCGAGCTATATGGCCGGCCCATTGTCACTTCAGCTTACTAATCCGTTGGGCTATGTCGATCACTCTGGTTTTACTGCGGATATCCTCATTTCTGAGTCTATCACGCAGAGAAACTCCGAGCATAGCCCTCTCCATAGCTCGCTGAGCGACCTTGAGCATCTTGGCCAGCAGTGAAGGACCATGTCTCAGATCCGTAAGTCATCACTGGCAACACGCACTGGTTATACACTTTAGTTTTCAGAGATTGAGGTATGCCTAACGAGAAGATGTGTCGTAATTTCCCGAACGCTGCCCAGCCGAGTTAAATCCGTCGATTGACCTCTCGGTCAAAGTTGGACTTACCTAGTTGGACTATTTGTCCCAGGTAAACGTACTCGTCAACAACTTCGAGCATAGTGCTCCCAACAACTATCGGCATAGGTGTGACATGGACATTAAACGTGATCTTTGTTTTGTCCATGTTCATCTTAAGACCTATCCGTAAGGAGACATCATTGAGGTCATTGAGCATAGTGGTAAGGTCCTCCAGCGATTCTGCCATAAGGACTATATCGTCGGCAAATCGAAGGTGAGTGATGTACTCGCCATTGATGTTGATACCATATCCTGTCCAGTCCAGTAGCTTGAAAACGTCTTCCACAGCAGTGAAGACTTTCGGGGATATAACATCACCCTGTCTGAAACCTGTCTGCAGTTGGATAGGTTTCGAACTCCGGTTCTGTATTCGGATAGCCATCGTAGCCCTTTTTTTTTTAACATGGGGAAATGCCTACGCATACCCGCCTCGCGGGGGCAAGGACGGGTTATGTCGGACTCGCACCGACTAAAACCCCATGGTGTTCCACCTTCGTCGCATATTGGCAGGGCTACGGGAACGCTTTCGCACACATCCGCGGCCCCACCAGTGACTGCCGCCCCATGGCAGCACCTCATCGAGAGAGGAATATTCCTCCCCGTTCTCCTTCCCAAGTAAGGCGCACCAGAACACATGGCACGCCTTCCTCCACGGCCTCCAATTACATCTGCGCAACAGACGCCCCCGCGTCCGATGCGCGAAGGCCATGGGGCCAGGAAAAACGAGCACTTAGAAGTACTAGCCTTCCCGACCCCAGCGGCGGATCTGGTCTATGGCTCCGCCGCCAACCAAGATTCGGCTGCGGAGGATAGGGAGAGCGGCGCCTCGCAATACCGACAATCCTCTCCCCCCGCAGCCCCATCACCACCGCATCAACGGTGCGGCCCCGTTTGAGTTGCGGAGGATAGGGCGAGTGGCGCATCGCCATACCAACACTCCTCTTCCTCCGCGACTCCACCTCGGCTGCAGCGGTAGGTGGGGAGGACACACCTCTCACCGCAGTCCACCAACACACATCCGAAGTGGGCTTCCCAAGCCCACTCGGAGTGGCCACCTCGGGCCGGCCCTCCACCTCGGACCAGCCATATGGTTCCTCTTTGTTTCGCCGTGGGAGACCAAGCCACAGCTACTAAGCCCCCCCGCCACGACAAGGCTGGAACCCGTTCGGGGGGGAGCCATCGTAGCCCTACTGTACAAACACTTCAGCACTTCGATATACCGACAGTCAACTTGGCACCGCTGAATGGACTGTAGCACCGCCCAAATTTCGACGGAATCAAAGGCTTTCTCATAGTCCACATATGCCAGGCAAAGTGACAGATTGTACTCTTCAGTCTTCTGTACAATCTGCCGCAGGGTATGTATGTGGTCTATGGTACTGAAGCCTTTTCGGAAACCGGCTTGTTCGGGAGGCTGGAAGTCGTCGAGTCTGCGTGCGAGACGATTCGTAATGACTCTCGAAAACAGCATGTAGACGCGGCTCAGAAGGGAAATCGGTCTGTAGTTCTTCAAAAGAGCGTTGTCGCCTTTCTTAAAGAATAAGACCACCGCGATTCTGCTCCACACCTCCGGAGTATTGCCACCATGGAGGATGGAATTGAAGAGCTTTTGAAGGACTTCAAGTATCGGTGTTCCACCCGCTTTCAGAAGCTCCGCTGTAATTCCATCCTCGCCTGGGGCCCTGCCGTTTTTAAGGTGGTGGAGAGCCATTCTAATCTCGCTGAGACTGACGTCGGGGATATCATCGGAATAGTGTCGGGTAAGACTTGCTCTTGGATCGTTACTCACACTTGCTTGTGGCTCCAACGATGATGTGTACATCTGCCCATAGAACCTATCAATGTCACTCAGAATCTCAGGTGTCCCGGAAACGATGTTGCCACACTCAGTATTTAGCTTTGACAGTTGGCTCTTTCTGGCAGACAGATCTCTGGCAAAGACTTTGGAGTCCTGGTTCCGCTCGATCGCTCTTTAATACGAGCAGTATTAAAGTTTTTTTTTATTTATTTATTTAAGTACACCAACGATTGTTACAACAATGCAGAAATAGTAAACACACATCACTTATATACTAATTGTACAATCAATTAAAGGTATACACCACATGCTTCAAAATACTAAAAAGTTACCAAGTAAAAACCAAAAAAAAAAATACAAAAACATAGAACAAAACAATATTATGAAAGTATATGAAACAATGACTTACACCTAGTTACTTAAATAATGTATCGTTTACTGTGGCCTTAAACTCAGCTAGAGACATAACATTAACATCTATTGACCCTCCGCACTTATTATATTGTTTGGAAATTCTGGAAACCGGTGAATTGGCTCCCAAAACTGTTTTGCGAAATGGACGAGAGAGAGAGGTTCGATGGGCTTACGAGGCATTCGTGACGGAACTTTAAAATTAAATTTTATCAGGAGTGCAGGACAATGCAACTGATATCTTATTATCTTGAAAAAGAAGGATAGGTCAAGTATATCCCTGCGGTTGTCCAAGCTCTGCATCTTTAGGAACTCTAGTAGGTCCTTGTAGGGGCTAAATCTTTTATGCCAGAAGTGTGAGAATACCAACTGTTTTACTAATCGTTTTTGAATGCGTTCAATACGAAGTGTGTGAGTAGCATAATGTGGACGCCAGACCACACTTCCATACTCAAGGATTGATCTAACCAAGCTATTGTATAGCGCAATTTTTGAGGAATGGCGTTTGAATGCTCTAGCGTTCCTGATAATAAAACCCAACATCTTGGACGCCCTCCCTATGATGTAGTCAATATGTTTGACAAATGTCATTTTATTATCCATGAGCACACCCAGATCCCTTACTACTGTCCTTTCTCCTGATCGAATCCCATTTATGCTGTAGATGTATGGAATAGGATTCAATTTCCTAGTGAATTTAGTGTGAACACATTAATTAATATTGAGCTACATTCCATTCGTCTGACACCATTTCACTAGCGCGTCAAGATCTTTTTGTAAATGCAAAACATCATCTAGTGTTTCAATTACTTTCCACAGTTTTAGGTCATCTGCGAACATCGAAGGGGACGAGTATTTTATATAATTAGGTATATCGTTCACAAAGATATTGAAGAGAATAGGGCCTAGGTGTGAACCTTGCGGAACACCAGAAGTGATATCTCGTAGCTCTAAGCTAAAACCATTAACGACTACATGGAAAGAACGTTCACTTAGATACGATCCCTATTCCGTATGCAGATAGTTTTGTCAGAAGCCGTCGATGGATTACTCTATCAAAGGATTTGCTGAAGTCAGTATATATTGCGTCTACTTGTTTATTGCCATCAATGTGACTTGCAATGTCCTCCACATATGTAACTAGATTAGTATTAGTAGATCTACCTTTTGTGAAGCCGTGCTGGTTATCGTTTAAATACTTGTCGAAGTAGGTTTGAAGAATAGGGCAGACTAGAGACTCGAATACTTTAGCTAATGAGGACAATATGGAAATAGGCCTGTAGTTGCTAATGATCTGAGCATCACCTGCCTTATAAACTGGTACCACTTTAGAAACCTTCCAAACTTTGGGAAAAACCCCAGAACTTAATGAGTTATTAAAGATAATAAATAAAGGTTCCACCAGGCACGACGCGCATCGTGAAATAAACAACGGTGAAATATTATCACTCCCAGTGCCTTTCGTTACATCAATATTGACTAATTTTTTGTAAATTTGCTTGCGGGAAAGATTTAGAGTTGAAAAACAATCGATTGCTCCCCCCCATTGACGTACTAAAAATATTCTCGTCAGTGTTTATGTCACATCGGACACCAAGATTTGAGGTATTGGAGAAGAAGTAAGATGCAAAGCTGTTGCATATGTCATTACCGTTTTGTATCACCATATTACCGTCCGTCATCGTAGCTGGATATGTTCCAGAGCCACCACGTTTAGTTTTAATATAAGACCAGAACAGTTTCGGGTTCGTTAAAATTCCGTCCTCAATTTT